GCTCAGCTATTTTTTCGAGTGACTGTATGTCTGGCTGCATCTCTCTCTCGTCCGGTGGCTGAGATGTAGCTCTTCGCGCTGTCGTGCCACAGGGCCCCGGTTCGATCCTCGGGCTGGGCAAGGTTAACTCAGCCTTTCATCCCTTCAGTGGGTCGATAAATGAGTACCAAGCATGCTTGGGTACTAAACACTGGGGGTTCCACGTTAGGCTGACCATCTGACCGGAACATCTGCTCCTGCACCCCAGAGCCCAAGGTCAATAAAACTGAGATGGACACAGTAGGCCTTGGCCCTCTATGGGCTGTCGCGCCACTGAGTTTAGTTTAGCATCTCTCTCTAATTTTTTACTTAGATATTTTTGATATTTGTTACTTTTGACTTCAAATAAAGGCTGCAAGCTCATTAAAGGAAAATTGCGAGAGAGATAATTTTTACCACAATTGATAAATAATTTTTATTTAGGGGGAAAAAAAGCGAGAAAAACCCCACATAAAAATGAAATAGCTTTCGAACTAATAAGAATTTCGATTAAAAAAAACTCTTATTAACTTTATAATTGAAAAGCTTATTGGAAGAACCGACTAAGTGACACTTTAATAAATCTGAGTAAGTGAGTGCCTAAGTTTTTACTTTCCATCTTTTTGTTTTTTCGTTCAATCTTTATGTTTCTAGTATGTTTAGGAAGGCATAACTCGCGAATTTTGGGGGCATATTTATTTCATTGTAGCTTTCTACTAAAGAAAGATTTTCATAATTTTTGTGTGTAGTATTTGCTTGTTTTCACAGACGACATTTAATGTTTTTTATCGAATATAATTTTGTTTCAAAAGATAAAATAAACATACAGATATTTGGACTTATATTCATAAAATAATATTTCAGCAATGTTAATTTGGAACAAACTGGTATCAAAATTTGTCTTGTCTTGTTAGTCCTAAAACTGATCAAAAACCCTTTACGAAAATTTAAGGTATTTTTGATGTGGTTTTGAGGTATTGAGTAATATATGAGGTACATTTGAGGTTGGTAAGAAAACAACCATAAAAATTATACCTCATAAAGTTTGTAACTGGGATGTGAGGTTGTTTTACATGCACTTAAGCTCATTTTGAGGTTGCTTAAAGTTCACTTCAAATGAACCAGGTTGAGGAGGTGATTTTCAAGTTATACAGATTGTTTTTCTGACACTTATAACAAAAAAGTATTTATGAGGCTTAAAAAAAATTACCTCATTTCAACTAAGTAGATTGAGATATTTATTGAGGTGTATAAAGTCATTTTATTTATTCCTAAGCTTATTTTGAGGTTATTTAAAGTACAAATTAGTCCACTTTCCAGCAAGAAGAATTCTTTGAAGTGAAACTAATCAGCATTTGCGCAAAATGAAGGCAAAAACCACGAAAACCTTCCGTGGTCAGCCCGATGTTAATGGAGCTCTGATATATTTCTACCAAAGTATGATTTGCATGAGCACGGCAATCTCTGTTATCATGGAGCAAAATAAAGTCACACTATTTATCACTGTGTTTCGTTCATATGTAGACTTAATCTGTCTCTACTGAGCTATACCTATTTTGATTAAAAAGTTGACATTAGTTTTGTCAAATTTATAAGTACGCTTATTATTTCAGATTTAACACTTAATTTTTCTTTAATCGAGCGCACACATCTTAAATATTGTTGATGAGACCACTTCTTACTTATAATTTAAAAATAATAATCTGGAAATAGAAAACCTTTTTGGTAAAATATTAGTTAATTTGTACTGTATTACTGTACTGGTACTGTGCACTGTCTTTATACTATATGTACTAATGTACATATCGCAATACCTACTATGAGTACTGCGGAAATAGATTTTTTACAGCTTATCAAATGGGATAAATTAGGATAAAATTATTGATTATGATAATTTTGAAATTGTTGATAAGGATATTTTTGAGTTTTTCTCGAGCCGAATGATTGTATCCGCATACTTTATTTTAATTTTGTGCATGATTTTGATCATTACCGGTTTATTGATTATTTAGTTTTATTTCAAAAATAATAACGAGTATTCAGCTAATAATAAACTGAATAAGTTGCTAAAGCACAAAATAATGTTTATTTCCAAAGCTACAATGCTTAGATTTTTTTTTATTATTTTTCACTAGGGTAGTGTGTCTGAAACGTAAACTAATGCGAACATGAAGCAAAAAAAAAAAAAAAAAAAAAAAAAAAAAAAAAAAAAAAAAAAANAAAAAAAAAAATATGTTGAAGCTATTTTAGGGTCTTGTTTTTATTAATTATTGATTACTTAAAAAAAAAACTTTAATTCCTCCTTAATGTATGGAAGTTGAAGTCTTTCATTTTTTACCAATTTTTGTTCTCCCCTGGCCACAGCGTTCGATGCCAAGCAAGAGATTTTCTAGGGTTTTTTTATTCACGATTGTCGCCAAGTAACTTAGCCGGTTCTTCCCTCCAACGAATATTTAAATACTGTCACTTAGCCGGTTCTTCCACGAAGTATCTTCAAAATGAATGGATTTAGCACTATAAATGAATGTTATACATTTAAATGAAGCTAAAATAAGAACTTCCCCCCCAAAATACCATTTTTTTAAATGTCACTTAGACGGTTCTTCCACTAAGCTCTTCAATTTAAAATGGTCCTAACAACACGTCAAAGTTCGGCTCTGTAGTTGCATTTCAGTGAACTATAGATTGATCAAAATGTTTTTTCCCCCTTCAAGTTTAACAGTTAGTAAGTTTCAAGCTAACTATCAAATCATATTTTTTTTTCATCGAACTCCTTGAACGTTTTTCTACAATATGTAGGCTTTTAGTTATACGTGAAGTTAAAATATATTACGATTTTTAATATCTCAAATATTTTTGCTTCTCCTTACTGTTCAATATATCAGGAATATATAGTGCTAATTTATGCATAAATCATTTAAAAGCTTGCATAAAAATTATTTTAAAACAAGAACTTCTCTCGAGAGTTGAAATATATTTACCCTTATGTAGTTTTATATAAAATATCCCTTTTATGTTGCTTTGTTGTTTTATGTTAAGCTTGAAAATAGTAATTAAGAAATTTATATGCTAGGTGAAGAAGATGTTCCCTCTCTGGAAGTTTCAGAAGAAGGCGGTCTGTTTTGGAAGTTCTGCAGTTGGATAATAAGAGGAAGACGAACCACAAGTAGCTCGCATGAAGATTCACCAAGAAAGGACATCAGTCATAATACAAAAACAGTACTTCCTCTTTGCAAAGAACTAAAAGTTGTTGACATAGAACTGAGTAATAAAAATTTTAAATCAGTGATAGAGTCAAGCCTAGAGAAAACTAAAATAAGATTCATTTGCCCTGACGATTCGGATAAATATTATCCAAGTGATTACTTTTTAGCAAAAATAGCATCTAGAGTTTACAACGAACAGAGCTCAGACGATTGTCTGGAGAAGGGATGGGTTTTGTTGACTACGGCTGATTCCAGCGATGGCTATGTTGGTGCTGCATATTGGAATGCCAAAAACCTGCAGGTTGTTGTAGCCCACAAAGGGACACAAAATGTAAAAGATATTTGGGCAGATTATCAGGGTATATTTTCAAAAAAATATACTTCTCAAATGAGTTCCGCAGCCACGTTTTCAAGTATTGTTATAGAAACTCTCAAGGAACTGAATAAGAAGTATTCGACTGATTTGAATCTTTCCTGCGCTGGACATTCATTGGGAGGATGGCTTGCCCAAGTAACAGCGTTTTCAACTCAATACCTCACTAAGGCAATCGAAGGTGAAGAAGAGTTTTTTGCTATTCGTAAAAATGAAAACGAAGGCTATCATACTCATACTGTAGCATTCGATAGTCCCGGCTGTAAAGATATGCTGTTGAAAATGGAAAGTGATTTTGATGTACGCCATAGTGGTAGAGCCAATTTATCTTCCTTTTTGGATGTCACAATTTTCCTCTCGGCTCCAAATCTAGTCAATACTCGTAACTCACATCTAAATGTGGGTAATTTATATAGGGTGTTTATCGATGACTTACCAGCAAGAAGGACCGGGTGGGATCTTTTTCGATATACTACAGAAACTCATAAGATGGATAAAATTATGAATGGGCTTTCTTCCATGGAAAACAGCTGTTCATCGGGAAAGATAATGAAAGTAATAGATTGGCCACTAGCAAAAGAAGGGACAAGTGGATTTTTGAGCGAAAACATTTTTACTGATAAAAACGAATATGAACATTTTCATAAATTGGCAGAACGTACTGGTTCATACAATCCAACTCCAGATGGTACAGAGTATTGTACGCTTCGCTATCAAGTTAAAGAGGTAGAAAAAGATGAGTGCAGCGCTAATGTTTTCAAACAATCTGAGTTTGACTTTTTGGAGGGATATCAGGTGTTGAAACGAATTTCAATGCTTTCAATCGTGCGTGACTTAATGTTTCCACCTGAGAGTGAGACAGCAGAAAAGACAAAAGAAAAAACAGGAGAAAAGACTGAAGAAAAGAGAAAAAGCAAAATAACAAATGAAAAAGTAGAAGAAATCTTAAAATATTTTGAGATAAAAGCTGGGGAAGGACGAGGTGTTATCAAGTGCAATTCGGAAAATGAGTTACAAAAATTGATTATTTATGTCAAAATTATTTTGTTTATTTTTCCAAATATACATTATGAAATCAAAGATAAATTAAAGAACTTGGATGTTTATAACAACGTTTATGAAAAGCAGTCTCTCGATTATCTTGATACTATAAAGTCTGTAGAAATTCGAAATTCTTCTATGGAATCTATTATTTCGTTTTTAAGAAATTCTAAATTGCAATTTTTGCGATTCATATGCAAAGTGCACCCTGCCATAGGAATACAAAAAATACGTGGCATTCTTAAAAAAGCGAAAGAAGATTATCGATATAGCAAAGTATTTTTTCTAAGTCTAGATCAGCTTGTAAATTTAGAACAGTTTTTTCCATTGCAAAATTTTTTAATACATTTGGATAAAAAACTTTCTGTGTTATTTGTAGTAGGGTGCAATACCGATTCTAAAAAAGCAGTTAATCTGTTCAAGAATTTATTCATTACTTTGAAATCTAGACCTAAGTTTAAGTTAATATTAGTTTCGCATGAATACAACAGTTTAGAAGATTGTTTTGGAAATAAAAGGAATCTTTGTAGTGAAATAAAGGATGATTCAAGCATTACATTTCAAGATTTAACTGATGTATCTCAAGAACAACTTTTAGAGAAAAAAGTTTGTTTTCAAGGAAAAGAGGTAGATCTTGATACTTTGATAACGGAGGAGACGAAACAGCTAATAGATGTCCAAACATTGTCTAAACTTATCAACAATGACACAATAGAGATAGGTAAACCCGTTCCTGATTTAGGAGATGTTAAGAATTACTATATTGATCAAACATTTACTCGTCACGTTAAAGTAAAGAGTGATATCAAAGAGAACAAATCTAAATTTGTTTTTACTAATAGTAATACATGTGATACATCAAAATTCAATCAAGGTGAAGACATAATTTTGATCTCTGACAGAGAGGATTATTTTGATGAATTGAGTAAAAAGAATGAAAATCGTAATGTCCACTGGCTAAAAGAAGAAGATGACCAATTTGTGTGGCAGAAATCTTATGGAACTTTATCAAACTTGCGAGAGTTTATAGATACAGAGAATGCCTCGGAATGTAATGACGTAGATGGGTCCGTAGTAATTATAAGTTCAGTATCGGGTGCGGGAAAAACCACTGTATTGACAGAACTAGCACAAAGGTTAAAAAAGAACGATCCTTCTTTGTGGGTTATGAGATTCAATTTGAATTCATATACTGAAAAGCTAGTAGGTGAAGAGTTTGTTAATGATACGGCCAATGTTTTTGAATTTCTACTGGATATAGCAAGTCTAAATAGTCCATTGGAGAAAGATTTGTTTAAACATAGACTGAATTCCGAAGGTGGTAAAGTTGCTTTGCTATTTGATGGTTTTGACGAGATTGTTCCTAAATATAAAGAGAAAGTTATTGAACTATTAAAAGTTCTAAAGAACTTAAAAATAGAAAAGCTCTACGTAACTACGCGTCCACACATGAAAAATGAATTAGAAGATGCATTAAATATATTGGCATATACACTGAAATTGATGTCAAAAGAAGATCAAATAATATTTTTGAGAAAATATTGGAGTAAAGAACTGGAACTAAACATTACCGAGGAGAGGATTTTTAAAATTTTCGCAAAACAATTACTTGACTGCATGTCACGTCCAATTTCAGATGAAAGAAAAGAATTTACAGGGTTACCTCTTCAAACAAAAATGCTGGCGGAAGTTTTTGGAAAGGACTTTAAAAACTTTTACAAATCTCCCCTTCAAAATATGACATCCTTGATTAAGAAGCTGAATTTACTGGAACTGTATAATGTCTTTGTGGATAGCAAGTACAAACGACATCTTGCAGATAAAAAAAATTTTGATCTCACAAAATCTGGTACAGAATATAAAATACTGTACAACTCGTTTATAGAAAATCACTCTTTATTAGCTTTAAACTCCTTTTTTGGGGAAAGCGACTTAAATAAGTTTCTTTCTGAGGAGTTCAAACAACTGAAAGAGTATACGAAACAGGTTCTGGAAGGAGAAGAAAACTCAGAATTCATTACCTGCAATGTGGATGGAAAAACAAGCTTTATTCATCCAAGCTTTGCTGAATTTTTTGTTGCTTGTTTTTATTGGAAGAACATAGAAAAACAGGAAGTCAAAAATTTTCTCTGTGAGCACATTTTTAGCGAAGATACTGAATTAGTTCGGATCTTCTTCGATTATATGGCAATTGACAACCAGGATGAATGTAAAGTACACATTGCAGTCTTGAACAACGATATTATTCAAATTGAGCTATTATTTTCAGGTGCAGAGGAATCTGGGGATTTAATTAATGCTACTGATAGTTTGGGAAGAACGGCGCTTCATTTAGCGGCGCCATATGGTCACTTGACTACGGCCAGCAGTTTATTAAATCACGGCTACAATGTTAACGCTCAAGACCAACTACTTTGTGGAGGTCCATTAAGATATGCAGATAAATGCGGTCATTGGTTTGTTGCTGAAATGCTTCTAGAAAAAGAAGCGAATTCTATTGACATGCCAAACTCAAAGGAAATAATTCAAAACTGTATTGCTGGTGAACGAAGAATTACATTATTGCATAATGCATCAATGGCAGGTTTAGTAAATTTTCTTAAGGTTCTGATTGAAAACAAACCTAATTTTGTAAACGCAATGGACGAATTTGGTTTCACTCCTTTATATCATGCTTTGAATAAGGATGTAGCTGAGCTATTAATAACCCGAGGTGCTAATATTAATTGTAAGAACGACCGTGGTTGGACTCCTTTGCATGCAAGTGTTGCTAAGAAAAACAAAGAATTTGTCGATTTTTTAATTAAGCGAGGCACTAACATCGATGTTAAAGATAACGATGGCTTCACCCCTCTACACGTAGCAACTATTTTAGATGATAACGAGTTAGCTGATGTTCTAATAACAAGACACGCTGATATTGAAGCTAAAGACGACAGCGGTGAAACTCCTCTGCATTCAGCTTGTTTCGAAGATAACAACGAGGTTATGAAGCTTTTAATTAAACATGGCGCAAACATTGAAGCTAAAAATTTTGGTGGTCTTACTCCTTTACACATAGCTGCCGCTACAGATAATTCTAGAATTGTTATGTTTTTTATAAATAGAGGAGCCAATGTTGAAGCTATGGATAACGGTTGTCGTACGCCACTGCATATAGCAGCTGCCGGAGATAGCACATCGGTTGTGGAAGTTTTAATCACAAATGGAGCTAATATTGAATCTAAAGAATGCTGTTATCGTACGCCACTACACATAGCTGCTGTGAAAGATAGTGCTTCAGCTGCCAGAGTTCTAATAATAAAAGGTGCTTGTGTTAATGCTAAAGATATTGATTGTCGTACACCACTGCACGTAGCTGCTGAGGAAAATAGTGCTAGAGTTGCTGAGATTTTATTAATGAATGGTGCTGAGATTGAAGCTAAAGATGCCTGGGGTTGGACTCCTTTGCCCTTAGCTTTTGAACGTTCTAGTGTAGATGTTGCCAAATTTTTAATGGAAAAAGGAGCTGATAGATTATCCAGAGATAACTCTGGATATTCTATTCCACAAAAAGATATTGAACTAAGAGACGATGTTGATAGCCAAGATGACGATGATCAAAACAATCCTAGCTTTTGTCAGTCTTTTTGTGCCAAAGCAAAATATTTAATCCTTATTTACTAAGTTACTAAGTCATATATTATGTTTAAATAAATGAAAAAATATAAAAAAATTTAAAAAGTTTAAAAAATGCGAAAATAAAAAATTTAAAACTTGTCCTTTAGCTGATAATTCTCAGATTGACAGCTATTCCAGTGTATTTTTTTGTAAAAGTTTTAATATTATTTATTTAATTCAGTGCAATTGCTGTAATTTGTGTTATGTTGGTCAGACAGGTCTTGAATTTCATAAGTGGATTAATTTCCACAGGTCTGTTATAAAAAATTTAATAATAGTAATTTTTCCACTGATTATAAAATTTTGCATTATTAATTTCATGATTTTGATAATGTTACTCTTTTTATTTTAGATTTTAGGGATAATTTAGATAATAGACTTGATTTAGAAAACATTTACATTAGTAATCTTAAAACTCTTTTTTCATATAGATTAAATACTAAATTTAATGGTGAAGGTAATGTTAATACAGAATATTATTGTATTTATGATAAATTTAAAGTTTTTAATTTTCCTAGTGTTTTTGATTCCAAGTATAGGAATAAAAGAAGTGGTAGAAAAGGTAAAGTTATTGATTTTGATGATTTTTCGAATATTTGTAACTTACCTGTTACTTTGAATCACCTGAATTGACCTGTTACTTTGTCTTCAATATTAGGAAATATATTTTTGGTTTTAAAAATAAAGTTCTTAAAAATTTCCTTATTAATTTTGGTTCTAAAATAAAATCTGATACTTAACTTATTAAATTTATTGTTTTGGATTTGATTAAATCAAAACTTGGTGTTAGTATGACTGACTTGCTCTTTAATAAGGTTTCTAATGTTGAAAGGGTTTTTTGTACGATTAATTTTCATGATAAAAAAAATTTTAAAATGTTAAGTTGCCACAGATTATACATGGTCTTTCTGATTTCTTTCCTTTAAAGAAAATTATAGTTTCTGCTGCTTATAAACATTCTCTTACGCTTCGAAAAAAGGTATGCAGTTATAATTTTTTAAGTCGAAATTTCAATTGTATTTCTAAATTTGATTGTTATTGTAATGAAAAGGATTTTTCACAATATATTGATAATGATTATGGACATATTATTACGAGAAATTTGGAGATTGTAGGTAATTAAGATTTAATTAATATTTTAAGCAAAGGTTCAAAATTTAGGATAAGATTTAAAATGAAGATTTTATTTTATCCATTGAAAAGGATCCTGTTTTTTTTAATAGCAAAAATTTCCAGAAATTATAATTGGCCCGTTGAGGGTGCTTCAGAGTGGAAGGCTAAAATTATTGAAAAAGTTAAATTTAATTTATTTAATACCAGTTTTAGTTCATGTCCTAGTGGTACTGTTATTGATTATGATTTGTCTAGAAATCAGAGATGCCAACTGCTCCGGACACGCCAAAATAATAAGAAAAACGGTAAATAACTACAGCGTAAATGTGACAAATTTTGACTATTTTTGCTTGCTTTTTAACAGGTGTAGTATGACATAAGAACTTCCTATTTTCCTATTTAAATTTTGAATCTGAGTACCAGCCTAATGAAAAAGGCTTTAGCTCATTCATCTGAGTGAGAAGTTTGTAAATTCGGAGCGAAGCTCCGAGAGATGTTTGGGGTAGATTAGGTAGTGGGCATTTCTTTCGTCGTTAACTGGTTGAAGTAGAACATCAGAGAACAGGGCTCTTTCCCTGCATGATGGAATTTAGAAGCTCCATTGCTTCTTGGTTCTTTAGCAGATTCTGCAGCTCCTTAATGATGGAAATCAGTCTGTTGGATGTTGAGACTTTAGAGGAGATTTTCCGTTGTTTTTGGAATTTTTTCCTGGGGCGGGCCTCGCACCCAGAAAAATTGGCAGTATGATCCTTGTTGCAGTTGCAACATTTTGGAGGTGTTGATCTTTCTTTACGGCATTCGTAAGAGAAGTGGCTTTCGGCGCACTTTAGGCATCTCGGCTGTGCCGAGCATGCGCTTTGTGCGTGTCCGTAGGCCTGGCATCTATAGCATTGGACGGCACTTCTTCCGCCGCGAAATCTTTCCACAATCACGGGGAACTTTTCAATGTGTTCGATGTGGAATACACGCTGATGATTGGCTGAGTCCTTGATGATCGCTAGGAAAAGTGGGAGGAGCCTAAAAGCCCCGCCCTCTGGCTTCTTGAATTGCACGATCTTTAGGATTTCTAAGTTCAACTTCTCTATTTCTAGAGAAATTTTAGAGATATCAAAGTCTTTTGGAAGGCCTCGGAAAAGAAACTTCCTATTTCTCTTGATTGGGGTAGTTTTATCATCAGTGGGAGTCTTATCCGAAGGTTCAGGCAAAGATGGAGTCGGGAGGGGTTCAGGAGTAGGTTCAGAGCGCTTGCTCTTCTTCTTCTTCCTCTTTTTCTCCGGTCTTTTCGAATCAGGATCAACTTTTGTGGGGATTTCGGAGGCTTTCGCCTCTTCCATCTGTTCCGATTCCTTTGCGGCATCCTCGCTAGTAGATTCGGTGGCTTTCACTTCCTCTAGTAGTTCGGGCTCTGGTGTGATTTTTGGCCCTAAAAAGGGCCTTTCAAGAGGTTTTGTAGTCTTTTGGTCTTTTAACTCCAAAAGGATTTCAGCATCTACGATGTTGGTCCAGTAAGTTTTGCGCTGCATGTAGGTTCCCGCAGGGGCGCCTCGCTCAGCATTGCGATAGCGAATTTGAATCTCGGCATCAAAGTCGAAGTCTGGCCTTTCATTGATGATCGCTTGGAAATTTTTTCTCGCATTGGTTTTGTATCCTACAATATCGGGAGGTGGGTGCACGCGCGTGGGTTGGAGAACCTTCCCACCGCGGCCGGATCTGTATGTTGACATCGTAGATAGAGCTTGGTTATAACACAACCTTACCCTATGAGAGCTCGAGCTGGAAAAAAAAAGAAAAATGACATAAGAACTATAAAGTGGTAAATTATATAAGCCTACGAATTATTTAGAAATAGTGGTGGATAAAAATCTACTAAATTGAAATTTTTAAACCAAGAATCGCAATGGATAAACTACCACTTTAAAAAATATATTTGCTGTCCGGAGCAAGTTGGCATCTCTATCTTAAAAATCTTAAAGATAAATTTATTGTTACTGTTGTGGATAAGGCTTCAAATAATTTTTGTATTATGTGTAAATATTTTTTTAAAAAATTGATTATTGGAGAATATAACGCAAATAATACTTATTTAAAATTAAAAGAAGATAAGAAAGTTATTGAAAAAAGGATTATTGCATTTAGTAAGAAATTAAAATTTAGGTTAAATAGGATTGCATTTCATATATTTATTTCCCATTGTTAAATTTCATAAAAATCCAGTTAAATTTAGGTTTATTGCGTTTGGTACTAATTGTTACAATTCTGATATTAGTAAAAAGTTTTTCAGTTTTCTAAATTTTTTTTTACTTAAAATTAAAAAAGAGAAAAATAATGTTATAAATAGTAATGTTGAAGTTTTGGATTATATTAATAATAATGATATTTCCAGCATTAATACTTTTGATTTTGAAAATTTGTATACAAGTATGCCACATGAACAGATTATTGAAATTTGTAGCGGCATTTTCGATAAGTATTTACTTAATGAGAAAATTGATAAGTCTAATTGGTTGGATTTATGTAGGTTTAATCTTTTTGAGAATGTTCTTTTTAATGGTTTAGACTTATAAACAAATTATTGGAATTCCACAAGGTAATTCCTTTTCTGGTGCTTTTGCTAATATTTTTTGCATTTTTTGAAGCTAAATTTCTTGAGTATAATGAATTTAATGCTTTTTGATATATTGATGATTTGATTTAGTTTAATTGTGATAATCATAATTTTATTTATAATATTTATCCTGAAGATTTGGTTTTGAAGAAAACTAATGAGAATTGTTTAAATGTTGAATATTTAGATTTTAAAATTGATATTGTTGACAAAATAATTAAAATTGGTGTTTTTAATAAATGAAAAGCTTTTAAATTTAAAGTTATTTTTTTCTGCAACTTAAATACTAATCTGTGTAATAAAATTTTTAAAAATTTAGCTTTTTCACAATTGGTTGGGATTGAAAGAAATTGCAATAACGTTGAGAGTTTTAGGGAGGCTGTGAATAATTTTTTGAATAATTTGAGTAATAATGATTTTCCTTTTAATTTTTGTAAAGTTAATTTTTTGATTAAGAAAATGATTGAAGAATACTAGTTTTTTATTTCTTTTAACAGGGCGCAATTCAAGTCTTAACTGAGCAGCCCCAGTTAAGCATTCTATTAATTTGTTACGTAATCTTTTCTTTGACTTCTTTTTTTCAATCTGCGCATTTTAAGAGAGGGCGTTGTTTTCTTTTGTTTTAAGTGTTTCCTTTTCATTTGGTTTGCTTGTGAAATCAATGTTTGACCTGGTTAATGTGAGCTTTTATTTTCTGATGATTTTGTTTGAGTTTCTTTTCTGAATTGGTTCTATATATTTTTTTCCCGGACTTCTACAAAACCTTCGGGGTACTGAGGGAGTTAATTTAGGCATTTGTTCTCTTTCTCTCAATAGAAAAGGTTTTGTTTTATGGCTAACGGGGCCGGTTCACCCTAAAGACGTCGGCTTCGGTGGTCATATTTTTATTTCCTTCGTTTCCTTTATTGCTACATTTATTCTTTCTTTTTTTGAAATTTTTGCTGATTTTAAGCTCTTTTTTTCAGAGAAGTTTTGTCAATTTTGAATTAAAATATTTGGTATTCTCTTAGTATTATAATCCTTATTTACGTTATTATATTTATTTATTTTAATAATGCCTTAATTACTAATAAAAATGTGAAATATTTACAAAATAGATACAATAACTGAACATATTAAACTGCTAATATATAAGAAATTAGTTGGTGGAAAAAATTAATGCCTGCATGCATCACGTACAATTGCATATATTACGTAATTAAGGTAAATACTTTCATTATCCAATAATAATTAATAGATAAAGCTGAAAGAAATTTATAAAAAATGCTTGAAAAATAAGGATTTATTTCTAATTATAATATAAGTTAGACAATTATGGGAATC